ATACGTAACCACAAACTTTTCTGATTAAAATATGAAAAAAGATATAACTGAAAGACGGTATATCATCATTTTGTATAGTGTTACTCGTTCACTTTACGGATCAATTCTCATCAATAATACTTCCAGTGATCCCAGCTCAGTTTAAAGTAGAATTTGTTTCATTTGGTTATGTGAGTCCGTGATTAATGCAATTATAATAACTCTAGTCCTTAATGTTTTTCAATGCATAAAATGAAAGTTGGGTGAAAAGCTAGTTGAATATATTGATTAACAATCATTCAACACCATTAGATGTAAAAATCACTTCCCTTTGGAACCTAATCTTACAAAATGAAAAGTGGAGAAAATCAACAGAATTCATCAGGGTGCCATTTACAGAAACCTTGATGCTTTTAAGCCATTAAATGAGATGACGAATGTTGGGAAATTGACAAATATTCCAACTCTTTTCTCTTAAGTTAATTGGATTTCAGACAGTTGTTGAGTGAAGAAAGAAGTTTGGTTAAAACATAGAGTGTTTCAAGCCTGTTGGCGTCAAATAATCTCTCTGATATCAACTTTTTTTCTCTTTCAATTTCTATTAAGATGTCAACCAATTACATTTCTACGGATTTTTGAATAAAAAGATAATTTTCACATTAAGGTGCCTGAAGTTTATAGGGTTACGAAAAACAAGAGATTTTAATTACGGTGTTCATGATTATTTCATAGATATTTACATCTTCACAATGCCAGGCTATTACGAACTTCATCTTGTGCCTTTACCCCCTTCTTTGTATCACGGAATACAGCGATTTGATTGGATTGTACGACAGAGGATACAGACAATCATAGCCCTCGACAGATAGACTTTAGACATGGTTTATTCAATCTTTCTGTCAAGGACTTTGATTGACTGTATTCACCAACGTACAATCCAACCAAATCGCTGCATTTACAAATTTTGGTGATACAAGAAAGGTGGCTATTGAAGTCAAGGTATAAGACGCAGTTCCTATTAGACTGATACTGTGAAGATGAGATACCATCTGGATAGAAGAACACTGCCTATCATACTGCATCAAGTATTATCATGTTAAACGTTGATTATTTTGAAACATCTCACTAGCAGTTACTTTTGTGGGATCAAATAGTATACGAAATTACCATGTCAAACCATGAAGCTTGGTACAATGGCTGAAGTCAGATTTCAACGAGAAAGAAACAGGTGGAGAGGGGACCGTTCTGACTGAAGCACTGGGGTACTTGCATTGAAGTCAACACATATTCTCTTTCCTTTACTGCCAAATAGTGATACAATAAGGACCCAACAGTTTGTGCAGCTGGTCAAATTTATGATCAAGAAAAGATATGTCTTAAGGAAATAAACAAGGCAGCATTTCTCAATTCTGAAATAATTCATTATAAAATACATTGTTAAAATATCAAAAATAATTAGTTTTCTGACAAAAGAAGAAAAATTAAATTGATTTATAGAATATTTTATTCCACTGCACAATAATTTGTCTTATTTCAGAGTCAAATAATACAAACACTACACAATAACTTCATTTGATAGATATATATTAATCTGATTTCCACTACAATACAGTTCACAATGTGTCAATTTTTAATAATCTTGAGCAGATATTGAAATGAGAAAATTTACTAGTATCCTGGTATTTGATATTTGCATGCTTTTTATAGAATGATAGTTTTTTTTTTTTACCCCACATGAGTTTTACTGGGTTACGGGGCATTTACCATACAAAATTCAGAATACAGAATCACATTTTTTTTTACTAATCAGTCCTGGGAGTCTTGGATTGCCCTTGGATTGTTGAAATGTCAGCCACTATTCTCAGTCAAATATTCTCAGTCAAATGGCACCATTTAAAATTTTATTTCAATTCTGAGCTCACTGTGGTGTGAGAGCAGGTAGGGACCAACAAGAATGAAAATATATATGAAGACTTAACTCATGAAGAGAGACAATACATAATGTATAAAGGGTTAATTATAAGTAGTAATAGAAATAACTGTATTTAGGTTAGAATTCATGTTGCATGATATGATGAAATATAATGGTAATGTCAAACATAATTCTATATATATTACTTCAGCATGTCTGGCTTGTTTCCTGTTTCATGGAACAATATTCTTTTAGTTCTCAGAATTTGTATAGCATCTACTTAACTACAACTTATGAGGTCACCAAACTCATATAGGCTTAATTTAAAAGAGTGTAGGGCCTTTATAAGTACATGAGAACTTCTATATATTTTTGCTAATAAGATACAGATGTTGATTGAAATGAAAGAAATCTACTGTCCACATACTTTCTTTGGTTAATCCATCTTCAACAATTATCTTTATGTGAATCGGAATATCACCTTAAAATAGTAATGATAGTCAAAGAATGACTTTGGGTCAATAAGATATATGAATTTAGTAATAGTAATATGAAATTGATTTTTAAAGTGGACAACTTTTAGTCAAAAGTTGGTTGAAATTTAGTCAAAAGTTGGTTGAAATTGCTTGGAAGGAATTGTTTTTTTTTTTATAAATGTTAACATTAATCAATTCAAAGTCATTCATAAATGATCACTGTTTTGAAGCGAGTATTCAAAGTTATTTGAAAAATATCAGTAAAATTCATTTTACTGACAATGAAAGTAAAGAGACATAAAATCTATGTTGTTAAATGGGGCCATTCCCACTAACACTAAATCAATATCAACCTTCTAATATTCTTTTTGAAAAACAGAGGAAAGATTGGCAATTACAAAATGATTTTTAATGATGTTTTTTTAATAAGCTAAGAAATTGGCATATGATATTTGCTTAAAGACAACAAAAGTGAAGAGAGAGGCAAGAAATATCTATAATTGAAGTCATTTAGCTCCTACAACACAATATGACTCTTTATGTTTTTCTTAGACTAAATTTGGAAATTTAAACTGATTAATGATTTCTGTTATAACTATCATATTTATTATCTATTTCTTATATAAATAATTACAGAATAATTATATATCAATTATCATTATATTTTATTTACCATATTTACAGGGAGAATTCCCAGATATATACATTAACAAATAATACTAAAAACTATTTACAATCATTAACAATCTCTAGGAACTTTGTACACTATTAGTCATCTGTTTGAAACAACTGATTTTTGGTTCTAATCTATACATAACAAAAAAATGTAATGGTTTAGAATAGAATCAAAGAATATATGGAAAAAAAGTATAACTTTTTTCTGGACTAAGAAGCTAAGGCAAGGGTACATTTTGCAAATCAATATACATATAACTAACGTATTATATATATATCATATTATTCTGTAAAGTCAGATGGCTATCTAGTATTTGTGGTGATATTATACTGACATACATTGCACTAATATACTAATTGGTATTAGAGTATTGCCTATATACACAAGACAGAAGACTTGTAAATATGTCAATGTAATTACTAAGACTAATATCAATATAGTGTACCTCACACTGCACTCTCTATAACCCATGGACATGACTTCTTTTTTCTTGTTTTTTCACTATGTTGCCTAGATATTATTGAAATTTAGATTCTTCCTGTTCTTTCCATTTGTTTTATTTCATTCCTTTTTATCTTGTTTAATATTCCCAAGACAATAACAATAAGATAAATTTGTTTATAATCTTGTATTCAAATTAATTTGATAACACTCTTAATGTCCTCTAATGTTTTCTTTGTTAAATTTGACATTTGAATATCACAAAAAAAACTTTTAAATCTTCTGTCTTAGTATATAAAATCTGAATAAAAGAAGAACTTCAACATAGAAAAAAATAATTTCAAATCTTAAAATGAGGAAATGAGAAGAAAGAGGAAAGACAGGATGAAAGAAAAAAGACAAAAGTGCTGATATTATTTCATTATTCCACAAAGTGTGAAGAGAAATAGATGCACCAATATTAACACTTATTAAATATGATTAAATAGAATATTTAACAGATAAAATTATCAACAAATCCTCACAAACTAATATAATCATAAAAAGATATATATATAAATATACAGAGTAATTAAAATTTATACATTATAGCACATCATTTAACCCATAAATTTATATCATGCACATAGCAAACTTAAACACAGGCCAAAAATTGCTAACTTTTTCATGCACTCAAAATTTAGCTTTTAAAGAGTCATTAGCATAAATCATAATAAGAAGAAATCCGCTCTGAGTGCTTCAACTTTATAATCATACAGATTAAGCTTTTTAACTAACCACAAATTTGCTAGCAAGGTCTCATTCAGTTTGTTTTGTTTTTTGTTAAAGCTTCATAAAAAGCCACTTGATTGAAACAGTTTGTAACAAAATCAGATATGTAGCATAATGACAATATACAACTCAATCAGCTACACAGAATACAATATACAACCTAACTCAAGAAAACCAAATAGAGAAAAGCATATTTCAGACAGAAACACAAAGAGATATCAAATTGAGATATCATTTGATCATCAAATCAATTAATGAAAATTTAGACCAAAACTTTCAGACAACAAATATGCTTCTGTTACTTTTACTTTTAAGACCCATCACAGAAGTCACTTTATAACAAGTACCTCAATTATGATATCTGTAGTGCTTTTGTGCTATATTTGAAAAATCTGCTCTTAATATACAATATTATTGATTTAAATGGCTGCTCAATACACCAATCATTATTCAGACTAATTTGATTTTTTTCTACCTACTGAGGCCACAATGAATAAATAAAGTCTACTTATAATTTGTGAATGAGCCAAAATGTACTTGCTTTGCAATCAGAAATATAATACATTTAACTATCTAGGTCTATGCATAGGTCTAATAATCTACTGATATATAATATTGTCATTAGGAGTTATTTTGATAATCACAGAATTCACTATAACAATTCAATATTCAGTAGTCACAATAGGAACTATTCCTCAAATATCACATACAGTCTTATTAGATAGGGGACGTAACTCTTGTTCAACTATTCCTGTCCAAAGCCTTCTGTTTCTTCTATAGCATAAGTTAATTTTTCCACTAATTGTTCATAACTGCGGAATGGTGGTAGATCAAGTCTATTAAAACATGTATGACTTCTTGGTAGCCATGTTTCTTTTCCAACTTTCTCTATACAGAAACACTGAGGTCCATTGCTCCCTACAAATAGATACCAGAATTAAATTTCTATATTACATTCTCAAGTTAATAGGCTTTAGGAAGAGGTTTGGTCTATATCCATTGTTAGATCAAAGTAATATCTCTTTTAATAAGGAATCTGCTCTATTTGAAATAATGAATTCCGAGTCTGTAGTTTGCTTGGGAACATCTGATGTCTTTCTGAGTATGGGTTTATCAATCACCAATGCCTTTGAGCATTCAATTTGATAGCAATGTTAAATTGGTATTTTTATTCTTTGATTCATAGAGTGATTTTTATTAGATGTCTGTTTGAATCATGTCTTCAAATCTTATACAATTTGACTGGATAGGAAAGAAAAAAGAAATTTACCCATCAATTCAGCAAAACCACCAACTGGTAATCTACAAGTTCCAGTTACAAACTGTAATAATCTCGTTCTTTTCTCATTATCTATTTCTCTCACAAACTGTGAAACAACAAAACATAAAATATAAAACATCAAATTCATTCTTCAATGGGAAGTTTGGTAGGAAAAGTCTATAAATGTATGGCTTGGTAGCTTCAAAAAGTAACTTTTATAAACATATTCTATGGATTGTCAAACTGCACATTTATGATATTTGATATGAAAGGGTTATAACTGAACTTAATTAGTAATAAACTAATTAGATCACAAACCTTCCAGAACCAACCAATCTGTTTACTATTTCGTTGATAATGTCTATATTTAGTATTTCTTTCCCAATCATCAACATCTATTTCCTGCATACCACATAACATTAACTATAAAATACACAGAAAATGCTCTATTACAAAAACAAAAAATACCCCAGAATTAACTTTAATTCATCTAACTTGTTCTCGACAATTATTACACAGCATCACTTGCTGTTAGAAATAGGAAGTTATTTTCCAGTCTGCAATATAGCCTCATGCCTCTTCTATTAAAGTCATTGTCTAACTCTAAATAATATCCTTCACATAATAATGTATCACTTTAATAAAGCTACAATGAATAACTACCTCTAATTCTCTTTCATCAAAATAATGTAACCATTGTAAAGGAACAACTTCATTGAAACCTTCTAAGAAAGCTTTAGTCTGTTCTTCAACACCTCTAGTAAACCTCCAATTTGTCATCAAACTGAAAACATTCAACACAGAAAATGAAATATAGTCATAAATTTTGGTAATTAATCTTTGTGTTTCCAGTCTGATAAAAATGAAAATCTAGATGTTTTGGTGTTGTATTTCTGCCAGTGACTTGCATGATCTGATGAAATTGTTATCCATCTCATATCATATCGCATTCAACCAATCAAGTTCTCTCTTTAATAAATGAAGTGTAATGGCTATCTGTAACATTAACTGCAATATATATATATTAACATACTTGATGTATTCTTCTTTGTTTTCATCTGTAACTTTAATATCAGCACCTCCTGGTTTTAATTCATGTTGTTCTATTTTACCTAATATTTCAAAATCAGCACAGAAATACAACTCTAAACCACATTCTTCAATACTATTCTCTCTATAATAAACATTGGATACTATGTACTATTGAAATAAAAAACATTTACAAAAAGTATTGTTGAATTTTCAATCAAATAACAGTTATGTTATGTATTTTAGGTTTGTTTATTTGTGCAATAATCAATAATGTTGCACTGAAATATTCCATAACGTTCATAGTTGAACATGTACAGATAGAAGTTAAGTTTGTCTATGTGTATCAAAAATATAATTATAGAAGAATCATGCACTTAAATGTTCCAGAAAGTGAAGATGGAAAAAATTAAATACGAACTTACTTGATCCATAACAAAGAAGAATAAAATTCCTGATCTACTGATTCTAAGTCTTTAATACTTAACTTCTTACTTAACATTCTCTTATAAAAAGGTAGAGTAAAACCACTGTCTATAAATTTACCATGATATAATGCCTAAAATAGATACATACAGAATAAACATAAAATAACTAGATATCAATCATTTTATCTAAGGAATTTATCAGGGCTCTGTTTCTTAAATAATTATGTTCTCAATGCAAAATGTATTATAAGTTTTTCTGATAAATATTTTGTATTTCGGACTATTCTACCAACCAAGCACCTACTAAGTTTTAAAAACTGCCTAAATCTAAAAGGCTGATAATAATTCAGGATAATATGAATATAGAGTATCAACAATAATGGCAACAAAAGGGGACAGATTCTTACAGGAAAAAAAGATCTTACCATAGCAATAAATCTTCCAATAAAACGGAAGTAATGTAAATGATCTGGGTTGACACTAGAGGCAGGATTAATTTGTAAACAATAATTACTATTACTAGCATATTCAAATAAACAATACATAGGATTTAATACTTCATGTGATAGATGGAAAAACCATTCTCTGAAAATAAATAAAATATTAAATATAAGTATTATAGATAATCATTTCAATATAAACTAGTGTCCAAAAGAAACGATACCAACTTATTTTCAAAATTGTTTTGAAACGTGATCACTTCCGGGAAAAAACGTAAATTTCGTGAAAGTGACATTTCCCTCTCAAGCATGTTCTGCACGTGCATAAAAACTGTATAAAACAGCTGATCAGACACGTTGATATCACAGCAACAAAAAGAACACAAGATATGCCACGTTTGACAGCCATCGAGAGAGAGCGAGCCGTTGGAATGGTTCAACAAGGAGCGACACACGTCGACGTCGCCAGAAGGTTGGGCTGCGCACGCATCACTATCACCAGGTTGATGCAGCAGTTACGTCAGACAGGTCAGACGTCAGACAGGCCCAGGAGTGGAAGACCACGAGTAATCACGCCCCGTGAAGATCATTACATCCGAGTATTACACCTAAGGAACCGCACCGTAACAGCGACGACCACGGCGGCTACAGCACTGGGACACAGGATCAGTCGACAGACCGTCTACAGGAGACTACGGCAGTATGGTATCTGGCCACGTCATCCCTACCGCAGACCGCTCCTGGCACCTCGACACCTTAACAACAGACTGATCTGGGCCAGGCGAGTTCGACGTTGGCAACGGCGGGACTGGGCACGTGTTATGTTCTCTGATGAGAGCTGATTCCTCATCTTCAAAAACGATGGACGGCAGCTTGTATACCGACGATTTGGTGAACGTTTGACGCCTAACTGTATCCAACAGGTTTTGCCATGTACACCGGACATGAATCCCATCGAGCACTTATGGGACCACCTCGATCGGCAAATCCGACGTCGCCGTGTGCCTCCAGTCAACCTTCCGGACTTGGAACGATGTCTCCTCGAGGAATGGCAATGCATCACTCCCAACGTCATCAGACGTTTGACGGCATCAGTCCGTAGGCGTATTCTGGCATGTATTGATGCTCACGGTGGACATACCCGCTACTGACTTGACTTTGTGACGTGTGGTGTGACATCTCCCGTTGTTTCTGTGATCAGTGCTCTAACAAAATGTTCTTTTTTCGACCCCACCCATCTTTAAAGGCTTGTCATATTGGTTGTACAGATTTTATCGAAATGAAATTTTTGTACAGATGTTGTGAAAGGATTTCTCAAAAGTATAACACCAATCCTAAACTTCTGCATTATTTAGTTTTTTTTTATGTCGTTGCAAACAGGTGGTATCGTTTCTTTTGGACACTAGTTTATATATTATTCCTCAACCAAATTCACTCTCATATCAACAAACAGGAATATTGACTAAATCAAAGGTCATCATGTTTTAACCTTTTGATCAAGATTGCAACTGAGATGTTTTCGAAAAAAAAAAGAGAAAATTTACAATGGTATCAATGTACAGAAATGTCTCTGGATTGAAATATTTCACTCAACCACAATGAAGTTTAATCAATAAAAGTTTCAGAGCTTGTATGAATGCTTTTTCTATATCAACATAATTTCAATGTGATTATCACCCAAGCAAATTCATTCCTTCTTCATATTTTAGTTTAAATAATGTACTTTACCTTGCTAAACCACCATAATCTAAACCTTCTTCACCTTTAAAGATCATATATAACCTTCTTCTTAAATCAAATGGTTTCAATCTCATTATCTATAATATAAAATGGAGTTATATATATTTTTTGGGAATATGACAAACAGGGACTGGATTTATATTCTCACAGACCAGAATACCTTCTTCTATGTTAGTCATTGACTTGTTTTTTAATTAAAAAGGTGAATAAGCATCTGGTGTTTAAATAAACAATGAAATATCACTCACCTGTGCAAAAGAATCTTCAAACATATTTTCTCTAGCTACAGTTATTTTAACATGTCCTGGTAGGGAATTAGAATGACATAAATAACGGAACTGTCCTAATTTCCACACAAAACTACGTTCATATTGAATAGATACACCATATGCTCCTTTTGGTCTGAAAATATAAAGATATGAACATATTCTAAATTTCATATTATCGATATCATCCTGTACAAATATGTCCCTTTGAAAGTGATCTATATTGGGAAAAAGCCACATTGTTTTAATAACTTACCCTTTACTGGGACCTCCTCTGGGATCTTGGAATGTAGTTGTCCTTGTATTATGATCAACAAAATATCTCACGCCTTCTGCTGTATATCTCATTTCCATACCTTCTGGTAACGGGTCTTCTTGCATAATTCTATAATAAAAACAGGAATTGTTTCTTTATAAACAATGTGCCTATTACTCAGACAAGAAACTGTTTTCATATTCAAGTCACCAATTTAATCAAGTTTTACTAGTAGTCATATCACTTATTTATAATCATCATGAAAATCACAGGACTGAGTAGTAAAAATTACCCTCTTACTATTGCAAACTATAGTGCACAGATTAGTTTTCAAATAATCTGTCTAATAAAAAATAATCAAAATAGCTTAAAATGGGTCAAAAAGCATAAAAATGTGTAAACTAGTGAGTGCTCAAATTTCTGTTACTGATATGAACTTACCCTTGTGTCCTAGGATCCTCCCATTGAGTTGTTCTATTTTTGTGATTAACATAATAAACTCTTGCATTTGCATCAACTCTTTTTTCTAAAAATAAAAAAAATAAAATAAGTAATTCAATAGATGAATACATGAATACTGGCAGAAAAACAAGCAAACCATACACCAGTATTCAAGCATCAATTTATTTGAAAAAAAAAAAATTTGCGATGATCATTTAAAGCCAGTTTTCTACTTGGCTGTGTCAAAAAACTGGAATACAACATTTGCAGAAAATGCATTCTAGTTGACAAGTCTAAGATTATTCTACGTAAGTAGGATTGTTATATAAAATCAGTTAGTAAACATACCCCAGCCTTCAGGAAGAGGACCTAATGGATCATTATCTTGAGCTTGAGCTTCAGCTTGTGGAAATAAAAATCTTCTCTGTAGATTTTCTAACGTTCTGTTATTTCTCCATTCCTGCCACTGCTGCCAGTTGATCAAGGATTCTACGTTGGGGCGTTGCCAAGTTGTTGTGCGAGTATTATGATCTACATAATACACACGTCCTCTCTGATCAACTCTTCTCTCCCAACTACAGATAGAAAAGTAGTTCACATGAACCGTGTTAACGAAATAAACTACAACAGTGCATGATTTGAGATCAAAACTATTGAAAGCATTTATATAAGACAGAAGACAAAACTGGATTTATTTTCAATGCAAGAAGTTTCTATAACGAATACTTACCCCTGAGGTAATGGTTGAGGTTTCTCCCATGTTGTTGTCCTGGTATTATGATCAACATAATACGGCCTGCCTTGTTGATCATATCTTGTTTCCCATCTACAAATATCAAAAAGTTATCATAACCATGTTACATCAAACTGTTCTTTTTGACTTGTTCACAATGATAAAAAGATTCTCTTTAAACCATTTAACAACAGAAGACAGCCAATGACATGCAGAAGGAAATTTTGCCATACTTGTGCACGGTTAGCACTCTTAATCTATGAAAAAGACACCTTACATATCATAGTTATATCAGAAACATAGACTTCATTTAACAAACAAAAAATCATACCCTGGTGCAATTGGTTCATTATCTACAGGATGAGGTATATTTGGTGGTGCACCATTAACTACAGTAGGTGTTGATGCTGCACCACCAGCATCAGTGGTACCCCCAGGTGCTGCACTTCCGTTTTCATTAGGTGTTGTAGCAGCACTTCCAGCCCCTGTTGCTGAACCTTGAATAAAAAATAAGACAAATGAAACATATATCAGATCTAATCAGACTGGTTTACTGATGACTGACTACAAGATTAATTGACAATGATATTTAATCTAACCTGTTGGAGTTCCTGGTGTTCCAACAGGAGACGTTGGAGAAGATGGAGTTGTTGGTGTTGGTGGATTAGGAGTATAACCTGGTACTTGAGATGTTGGGGGTGTTGGAGCAGGTCCTCTAGGCGTTGAATTTCTAGATCCTCTTTGAGGAGGTCTCTCGGGCCTATCTGGCTTATTAGCTGAGCCATTTGATGTCCTATCTGGAAAGGCAAAGAGTAAGTATCAGTCCTGAATGCCTTACAGTCTTAAGATTTACATAAAGATGATTTCTAAAAACAAAAGTTTGTGGAAATATGCAGTGAAAAGTCTCCTAATATTTCCCTTAACTACTTACTTTTGTTATTTTTAGCTGTATATCTTAAATTAGGTCTATTACTAACATCCATTCCATTCAATATAATATTAATCTCTCCTGTTTTACCTTTCCCCTCTAACTTTAGATCATACACTTTATTAAAGTTATCAACTGGAAAAAATAAATTATAGATATTACTACAAGTGCTAAATTGCAACAATTGATACAACACGTGGCAGGTTTCAAATGACAAGATGTGCTTTTCTTTCTAGAAACCAACCTTCCATAGTTTTCAGATCTTTCAAGAAACTAAACTTCCATAGTTTTCAGATCTTTTAAGAAACCAAACTTTCATAGTTTTCATAGGTTGATCATAAGGTTATCTCATTAGTTAATTTGAACATACTAGCTTACATAATAACTTTACTTACATTTGCCATGATTTTCTTGTAAATATTTAGCTAGTTCAACAACTACATTTCCTAGCAATGTATCGGCTCTTATACTGTTCTGACTTAAAACTCGAAAATCTAAATTTGATGTAGGGTTCACTAAACTGTAAACAAAGATTAAATATATGAAGTTGAATATGTTGTGACCTTCAAAAATCAATTGCAAAGTAAGTTTAATCACCTTGGTTCATAAATATCATTTAAAATTAATCATTAATATTTGTTAGGCTTAACAATAGAAGAACATAAAAGTTTTAATATCTAAAAGCAATATCAAACAATTGATATGTAGCAAAAACGATATTGAAATTCAAGAGTGATTGAAATGGATTATAAAACTTAACAACTTTCATATTGTTACATTGATAACCTAGCAAGTTAATAAATAACAGTAGCTATTTCATTAGGCTACTCTCATTGTGTGCCTATATGCATGAAGTTTCTATTTTATAACAAGTGTCAATATCAACATTGCTAATGATGTTTTAACATGTAAGTAGTAGAAGGAAATAACAAACAGTTAATTATAGTTCCCATTATATATCACTTTTGACATATATAGATTTTATATACATATCATAAAATACAAATAATAATACATCTTATAAACAAAAGCTGTCTCCTGTAACATTTTATACTTAATAGATGAATAAGTCAATATGACCTGTTGCACACAATATTAGATTTTTATCAATTAGGTTCCAGAAGCAAGACATAACACTAATCTGATTGATGGACATTGGACATGTAAGGTTTTAGATCTGTCTTAATAAGATAACATACAGGTTGTGTTAGATGGTGATGATAACATAGTCTCATGAAAGCACTGGCCTAGTTAGGCTGTGTTTCATATTAATGAATAAATAAGAAACTATCTGTGATGGTGCATGACATTCAAATGATTTTGGATTCAAATTTTACAAAAACATAAGATTAATGATATATGTCACTTACACTGTAAGATGTTCATCCCATTTTGGATTAACTGATTTTTTCTGGATGTCAGTTTTCCGTGGTGGCTGACCATCAACACTTACTTCACAATATGAATCAGGTTTGGTTGAAAAAAGGCCACCAACCGATAATAACTTTGCAGACACAACTGAAATACGACAAAAATTCATTGGCAAAAGAAGAAATTCAGACATAAAGTTGTCTTTTTTGATATGATCTCTCTCTAAAAGAACTTACAAAAACCTGATGGAAGAAAAGAATATTGCAAATAGAAACTAAAAAATACATAAGAAAGTCAAAAGAGCTCTTTCAGTGTTTGTCAGCACTGGTTAAAAATAGTGAAAAAGGTGATTATAATGAACAATTTGTTAAATATTCTTACTAGATATCTGTAATTGACAAAGTTGTGAACTACTTGATGCACTACCAGATGCTTCTCCCATCATTAAAAGTCGTTATTAATCATTCTTAATTCTACAATACAAATTAATATACTATTCAATTAACAAACAAACAAAATAAAAAAAAGGAGACTACATCAGTATCAGTGACATTTTTTGAGGTATATAATTTGTCACAATATCAGATATGTCATTTGACTACAAAACAAAATATTTTTCATCCTATCTGTAGTCCTTCAAATGAAACCATTCATGTTATTTACATTATGTTTTAATATGTGTTAATGAGATCACATTCAACTAAAACATTCAAAATATCTCATTATTCTATTGACACAACTTCCTGTTGACATTCAAATGATTTGTGTCAACTATTTTACACTTGAGCATATTGCTACTTAGTGAATAAAATCAAAATTCAATTTATTATGTTCTTATAAAATCAAACAATCAATGCAAGAACATCAAACAACATTTCAAAAGTAAGACTAGAACTGTTCTAATAACAGTACTGATGCAGGGCGTGTTACGACATTCCGGTGCATACGAAGATGGTCTATTGCAATTACATTGATGTAAATAAGAAATAAGAAAGTTGGTAATGCTTATGCGGACAACATAAATACAATATTTCCATCAAATTTAGAATTGGATTATACACATACATACCAAGTTTGATGAAATAAGAAAGTTGGTAATGAGCATGCAGACAACAAAAATTCAGTATTTCCATCAATTTAGAATTGGATTTTATACATACATACCAATTTTGAAGAAATGCAGACAACAAAAATTCAATATTTCCATCAAATTTAGAATTGGATTATACACATACATACCAATTTTGATGAAATGCAGACAACAAAAATTCAACATTTCCATCAAATTTAGAATTGGATTATTCACATACATACCAAGTTTTATGGAAATCGGAAAAGAAATAAGATAGTTGACAATGCGCATGCGCACTACTCAAATTCGATAATTCCATCAAATTTAGAATTGGATTATACACATACATACCAAGTTTGATGAAACTCGGACAAGAAATAAGAAAGTTGGTAATGAGCATGCGGACAACAAAAATTCAGTATTTCCATCAATTTAGAATTGGATTTTACACATACATACCAATTTTGATGAAATACAGACAACAAAAAATTCAATATTTCCATCAAATTTAGAATTGGGTTATATACATACATACCAATTTTGATGAAATGCAGACAACAAAAAATTCAATATTTCCATCAAATTTAGAATTGGGTTATACACATACATACCAATTTTGATGAAATACAGACAACAAAAAATTCAATATTTCCATCAAATTTAGAATTTGTTTATACACATACATACCTATTTTGATGAAAGTCGAATAAGAAATAAGAAAGTTGGTAATGTGCAGGCGCACTACGCAAATTCGATATATCCATGAAATTTAGAATTTGATTATGCACATACATACCAAGTTTGGTTAAAATGGGATAAGAAAGAAGAAAGTTGGGAAATTAAGTCGGGGTATGCCTTTAATATGCTGCTCAAATTACAGTATAACATGGTTCAATCCACCTAAGAGCTTATTAATTATATACCATTACTGGACATAGAACATTTTTAAGAAATATAAAAGGGACAACTTTAACCAAACCAAACCAAACCAACGACTACCATTCGACTACCAATCAACAAGAAATACCATGATCAGAACGAGTTTGGAAGAATGAAGGAGACCGAGTAACTCACGCCACACCATCCAGGGCCGAGTTTCACCGCCATGACATTCGACCCGACCAGATCTAACGAAGAATCAACAACCAAACCAACAACACCGAATCATCCAATTTGATCCAATCCAACTACCAACTACTACGACTACCAACAACTACCTAGTTTGCGATATCAGCATCCGCTGGAAGCGAACGTTAACTTGTCATCTACCTACCTACCTACCTACCTAAAACAACTTAAACTTTTGGGGTTGACAGCTTAGTTAATCTAATTAGTCTAATAATAACCCCATGTTAAGTGAATGGAGTTTTGAATTTGTATGTAAGGCATGCATGTTGTATATCTATGGAAAGCTCCTGAATCTCTACATTATAAAATCAAATTATTGCCATATCTCTATAAGGGATCGAGATATAGTACTTTAATGGCTCAAAATGGTCCATAATTAGACCCCTGTAAAATCGGAAATAGGTGTTTGACCCCAAAGGTCAAAAGACAAGGTCACAAAATATCATTACAGTAAATATGAAGGTCATCAAAAGTCAATGTCATGAGATATATACGACTTCAACCTTTGAAAACATTCGGTCGTACAAAAAATGCAAAACCGAATATCAAAATTATCCTTCCTAAGATTTGTAGACAAACATTTAAGAGATCGTGTGACACAAACGTTACGCAAATCGGATTAAAAATGAATTCTGAGAATCAATTTTTGGAAACTTGAAGCAAACCAAAATGGCAGCAAAAAAGTTTGTATTAAGGCTGGTAATATAATGCATATGTTATTTTTGACATGATACCAGAAATGATACCACCGGAAGTACTAACATCGAAACTGGAAGTGATGAAATGAATGTGCGTTTTTATTCCTCTTTGCTGGCAGTCTACACCATGTAAGTTTCAAGTCAATCTGCCAAATAACAACCAAAGTAGTATTTTTCAATTAATTTCGGCAATAAAAAGTATCGAATGAATGAATATGTCCTTTGTTACAAGAAATACAATGAAAGAAACCTGATCAAAATCGTTTGATAAACATGCCCTTTGGATGGAGTCCATTTTCCTTTTGTTGCTAACGTCGCTTCATATTGCTTAGAAAATTTTACATTCATTCCATATTTCTCCACAGGTTAGAAAATGTAGGGAAATCTGTTTTGTCGTACCCGTTGCCGTTTCCGAGAACTAAGCTCCCGGGATGAAGAAAAAGTTTAAAAATGAACAGATCAATTTTCCTTATAATAAAGCTTGGTTAGGTTTAACAGCACTGTAGTCCAGCGCACACATGATTCAATAGCCATTTGTCACGAGTAACTAAAATCTCAACGTGTGCGGGTAAATTTTGCTGCGTCGTTTGTCTCGCGAGACAGTGCATCAGAAATCTATCGGGTTTGATATATTTGACATGAATAACGTTTGACTCAACGTGCCCGCTTGACTTGAGAGTAACAAGTCACATGACCTGTTCTGTTGATCCAACAGCTGAGCCAAAGTTGCACCGTCTGTGGTGAAACCATATGCCTGAGCCAACCGACACTCGAGACAAATGGCTTAGTTGTACTCATAGTGTTCGCCGGACTTAAATTTACCCCAGAGTGTTAATGACCAGGGTATGCAAGAAACTTTGTTGTTCTCTACCTAGTCAGAGCGCATCTTTGTAAGATAGGCAGTATGCAAAATCATCATTATCAAAAACCTTGTCTATTATACATGAAAATATTTTTGAAGTATGATATTTATATCTATATATCTTCTTGATCAAACTAAATTTGGTTTAAAATGGTTTCATTCAAAACGGAGAATAATAATTGTTAATTAAGCAATAATTTTGGCTTTTAATGGTTCAATATTATGAGTTGAAACCTTTAGACATGTTTCTCTACAAATAAGCATTAATTTCACTTATATCCATACAGTAGTTTTATAACAGCAGCCAAATATATAACAAACTTAATGAAGTTAATGTAAACTTTTTAATACTTTTGGTGTTAAAAAAATTAACGGCTTCAGATATGTTAAAGGATACATTTCTCTAGATTTTGGTGTAAAGTTTTTACAAATTTAATTTGAGCACAAAAAACGTCTGAACTTCAAAATTGCCCCTTTATAAGTAGTTTTGTAGTTCATCGGTGAATTGATACAAACTAATATGACTTGCCATAATCTACATATTGTATCTCAGGATAAAAACATTTTCTAAGTAACAATACTTATACCAGCCATACTACACTAAATGTTATCCAAATGCAAGAAATGTTCCATTCATGAACATAACTGTGGTCAAAGTAAGCTTTTTGACAATAAATTACTACTTTTAATATTCTGTTATTATGTGAAAAAATACAGCAGCAAAAAAACATCATAGAAAGTTTGAAGACTGAGTGCGACATTTTACGTATTAGCCCATATTGTTATAATATCATAGCACCATGCCACCTAATAGTTGGGACCGAGGTTCACTTTATCCAAACATCTTTGGTTCCGAATATTATCCATACAAAACAATCTTTTCATACAGAGAGATTGTGCACATTATAATCCTTCAATTGAAGGTAGAAGAATGTTAATTGGCTGTTTTGAAAATCCTGTGAAATCATTAATTACCTCAGTCCTTAATACAAATTTTATCTTCTACATTGTAATATGTAATTGAAGAGAAAACAAAACAACTTGGACCAACTTTCAAAGACAACTCAATCCATTTTTTTCAAGACTCGAAACCTATAGCCTACCCCACGTTAAGGACAAATGGGACCAATGTCAAAGACAACTATTTATTAAATAAAAAGTAATCTGAGTTGTCTTTGGTTATAGTGGTCTGATTCCTGTAAAGAAAAGCCAGTTTGAGTGTAAAAATTTGTGCTATAGGCTTACACATTCAAAAATGTTTTAAACTAATTTTAGATTACATATGCAGTTAGTTGTTTAATGCTTATAATTACTAAATATTACACAAATAAAGTTTTCGAGGGGGTCTATATTGTGTGTTACATAATCACGATATTATGACCCTGTGAGTGTAACTATCATATAAATCTTTATTTACTCATGCAATAAAATTAGTTATCATATAATCAACATTATGGGTGGGTCTTTTAATATTTTGTTGTTATAAAGAGTCAAATTAATAATTAACCTGTACTGTTACTAAATCATAACAAAATGTAAATCTTGTTACACTAAACTGCATGCCAGAATGACTTTCACTTTTATTTATTTACATTTCTGACATGACTGATAGATACTGACATTTTGGTATTTGTCCATAATAGGACATCAGTTTCATTTCACTGTTAGGAATAATCATACCTTTCCTGAGGTATTCAACTAATGGCGGATACTTCAAAGAATTAGATAGAGTCTCTTCTGTAAAAACTTACTAATCAATATGCATAAGACGTAATAGTATTGTTTATAATCCTTATTTCCTTCAGAAGTTGACCACCATGAATGATCACATGACCTATGACGTTCGCGCACCTTGAACCAATTCTCGCACATTCGAGAACGGTTTTACTCGATATGTTTTTTATAAATGAATTTAAAAAAATTGAAGTCCGTAGTTTAGACTACCTCAAAAAGGGTAAAAAAATATATGTTTCTGAAATATGATGTTATGGGGAAAAAATTATACGTAGTCACGTGATCGGCGAAGGTAATAAGCCGAGCCATCCGATAAAGTCTATAAATAACTCATTCTCTATAAATCCTCTCATTGGAATACATCAATTTGATAAGAAGCTACTTCTGGAAAGATTTAGAAGATAAATATTTTCAAAAAATGCAAAGCGATTGCTTCAGAGAGTTATTGAAAGGGTATCTAATCTACCCTGGACTAGAAACATTATTCAGATTTTTATTTTTTTGTAAGCAGTCACCAAACGTTTAGTATAGATGTTAGTGAATTCGCTGGAGTTCTTTACAAAAGCGTTTGACAATCACTGTGGCATTTTAGCTGTAGAATTGTAAAAAATTTGTTAGATTACAATGCATGGAGACGGACATATCAGAAAAAAAAACATGGAGATTTTTGAAAAAAAATATTGCTAGTATATACCGTGCAAGTTCTCCAAGCACAATGCAACATATTCAACTTTGCGTAAACTGCCAAATGATAAATAAATGTTAAATCAAACTACAGTGATAAAAAAAAAAAAAAAAACTGTCGGCAACTCCTGCAAATCACATTCGCTGGTCACATGACCTGTTCAAAATGGCGACTGTTAAACACGTTGTTGTCGACTCTGGTGCTTTTATTCGTAATGCCCCAATTAGAGTAAATATTATTATATCTATCATCCCTAATGTGTTCTAGTCAATGTGTGATCTCTCTTGATATCATATAATTTGCACATATTTTATTATAGACACCACAAATCGTTTTTTTTTTAATGAAAAATGGCCATGCATGCCGATTGCTGTGTACTACAGTGGTGTAACCTATTTTCGTGGATATAAGGATTCAACACCGAATTTCGTCAAAGTTGATATAACGAAATTTTTTTTTTATGTCTTAGATTTTTCCTCGGATATTCTACAAAATAATTAAAATTGGTTTGTTTCGATTTTCTTTATGAATCCTTCACTTTGACCCATATTTCATGAGCAACCAACTCGTCAACGGTGGCAGAATGCGTCACCTATTTTCGTGTACAATGTTTGATCTATAAATAAATGGAGAAAAACTTGTTGTATGGATAACGGGTGGTATAATTAACTTCTCTTAGTATTTATCTTTGACAATTCCTTCAAAGAACCACGATTTTAAAATAAGATACGTAGCGTGATTTATAGCTAAAAGTCACTGAAACAACATAAGAATATGGTCCACTGTTCAATAGAAATTTTCTGCTGACATGGAATCCGCTAGTTGATCACGTGACTTCATTTGTTGGACTACATTCTAGCAGACGACACTTGGAATTCCGATTACCGCTTGGGATTATAAGGACATTCGGCCGATAAAAAATGGTGACGTTTGGTAATAAGTGAAATCCGCCATTTTGTATTTGTCTTAATACATTGTATACATTAATACATTTTACCTTGCTTGAAACTACTGGATTCATTCTACTAGCTGATATTGTAGAGAAAACCCATGCTTATGAAAACAAACTAATGCGGAGGTCGCGCAAGGTCGGTTATGTAATGTAAATTATTAATCATTTCCGGAAAGTCAAGAATAATAGGTTTCCAAGATATTAGGTTACTTGACTGTATTTGACTATACAAAGTACCATGTTTTCTGAATTGAATTTTGGCCACCATTTCCAGATGAATTGAAATATCAATTACAATTTCAACCAATGGAAAAGTTATTATTTGTAAACATGAATTTACAAAAGGGAATTTTAGGTGCTGGGTGGTGTGTCTATTTCAAATGTAGAATCACTGAACCTTATATTCCAAGACCAATGGCATCAAGTTTAAAATATTATTTTGAATATTAATGAAATGAGAAAAAAATTCAATTCAAAGCTCAATGTACTCAGACAGTATAGTAGTGTGTTTATTATTATTGGATTGCAGGAAATTGGTGAGAATATTTACACGTTACATGATGTAGTGAATGAAATAAAAGATAAAGCAACTAGAGACAGATTACAAGTTCTACCTTATACTATTAAATACAAAGAACCGTCTTCAGAAGCCATCTTGTTTGGTAAGACATTGGTCATCATAATAAATAAATAATAGCACCGTCGTATAAGGATAACAGTAATAAAGTTATTGTTTGGCTAATGTTCTGAGCTGATCCTTAATATTTGCTTATTGTAAATACATGTACATTGAAAGTTATCAAACACAATCTTTTCTATAGAATATCCACATAATTTCAAGCATAATGTAAATATTAAAATTTGAATAAAGCGTGAATAATAAATGATATTTTGGTTCCTTACAGTTACAGAATTCTCAAAGAAAACAGGAGATTATAGAAGTTTATCTGTGGTAGATATAAGAATAATAGCTTTAACTTATCAACTAGAGAAAGAAAATGTTGGAACAGATCACATCAATAAAGCACCACCAGCAAAGGTCAGTTTCGAAATGCAACAAATTTTAAGCTGTGATAAGATTGCTCTTTTTGATTGAATTCATCTGCATACATTGTAACATTACTTTGCCAGCAACAATGGAGAGGATTGAAGGAAACTCACATTTATATTAAGTATGTTTGTATCTGGTTGACAAAGAAAATGAACAACACAAACATTTTTTATTTGTTACTACATTTTTTTCCATAATTATGATTTGTACATAAATTTATGATGAAATTGATTTTGATTCTTATTATTATTCTTTGATTAACGGTATATGATATATTGATATAGGCTGAATGGAATACAACCAGATATAATTTAGAGAAAGCTACTGATATTGCTGGGTTTTATTTACAGTCAGATGTAAGTTAAGAGTAGTAGTAGTTTCTTTCAAAAAATTGCCTGGAGGCAAATTTTTATACTGTTTTTACATGCCCACATGAAATAGGGGGCATATTTATTGTCGTCACCCTTGTCTGGTCGTCCACAATTGCTCGTAAACACTATAGAGGGCGCAATTCTTGACTGATTTGGAAGAAACTTGGTATGATTGTTTGTAATCACCCAAGGATAAACCCTATTGAAAATCAGCAAAATCGAAATATGATTCTTGAAATGCCCGTAAGGGCTCTGGATGGTGCAATTCTTGAAGGATTTTGATGAAACTTGGGGTGAGTGTTTAATGTCACTCAATGTTGAAGCCTTTTGAAAATCAATAAAATCAAATAAGAATTAGTACTGGTATGAGTTATTGCCCTTGTTCTTGATTAGCTTGTAAACACTCTAAAAAGTTCAATTATTGACAGATTTTGACGAAACTTTGGGTGAGTGTTTGTTATCAATTAAGGATGAACCCTATTGAAAATTAGAAGAATCAAAAAATATTAAGTATGAGTTATTTCCCTTGTTCTTGAAAATGCGTTAAATTTTTAGCTTGTAAACCCTCTAGAAGTTTGAATTATTGACAGATTTTGACGAAACTTGGTGTGAGTGTTTGTAATCACCCAAGAATGAACCCTATAGAAAATCATTAAAATCGAATAACATTTAGTATGAGTTATTGCCCCTGTATAATTTTTATCTTGTAAACCCTCTTAAAGGTGGAATCATTGACAGATTTTGACGAAACTTGGTACTATGATACAAAATCGCCTCAAACAGTTCAAAAGAAGTGTAAAACTGAAGTTTGAATATTTCATACTGGTAATTGTTACTGTACTACCAAATTTTTTTATTTAAAAGCTGCCAGTGGGAGTATATTACCTTTCCTGGCAAAATGTATTTTTTTAGACTTCTTTCTTCAGTGAGGTGTAGATCAAGGAGTAGCTTCTCAATGTCTGCACTTTAAATTTACTTTTAGAAGGAGTCATCTAAGTCCCGATCAAGGAATACATCAGAATGCAATAAAACAGACAATGTTGAAAAAGAGAAAGATTGTGGGGCATTATCTAGTATTAGTGAAACTAGTGATAGTACTAATAATACTACAGACTCTAGTAATACTCAATATGTAAGGGAGGGACAGGTATTAAAACCTGAACATATAGGAGAAGAACAAGATTCTGATGATGAAGAAGAAATTGATGAAGATGATGATGATGAAGGGTGGATAACTCCTAGTAATATTGATGCCATACGTAAACAAATGGAAGATGTCAATACAGAAAAAGCTGATGTTACTGTGGGCTGTATTACAACTGATTTTGCTATGCAGGTAGGAATTTTCGTCACAACAGTCTAAAGTATCATATCACAATTGCTTTAAATTGAAAAACTATTTCAACAGAAATAAATGTACAAAAGTTACTAAAAACACAAGTCTTCAATGTCTTGTTGCTTAACAATGTAACAAAAATATGTACCGGTATTGAAAGTTGTCAATTAACTCTTTTGTTAAATATGGCAAGGACTGTTGTTTTTAAATTTGTTTTCTTTGTAGAATGTATTGATACAAATGGGCTTAAATGTAGTATCTGTTGATGGAATGCTCATTAAAAAGGCTAAAAATTATGTCCTCAGATGTTTTGCCTGTATGAAGTAAGTTACAGTTGTACTACACAAAATTTTAGAAATGCAAATTTACATAGTAATTAAACTAACTATAAAAAAAAGGCTAAATTTGATATTTCATTAAGGATCTTCCACCGTTTTCAAATATTTTGGTAAAGTTATTGCCAATATTACTAACATTATTACTTCTTTATGTCTTAAGACTAAGTAGGGTGTATGTTAGTATTCAGGATTTGAATTATCTTGTGTTTCCTTTAGGATAACAAAGAACCTGAATAAGCAGTTTTGTCCACTTTGTGGTAATAAAACTTTAAAAAGATTATCAATGACAGTTGAAGAAGATGGATCTGTAAAATATTATTTCTCTACTAAAAAATTGAATTGTACTAAAGGAATGAATGTAAGTACCTAGTAATGGTTTTATTTGAAGTTTTTATAGTGTGCAAATTTTAAATAGAAGTAGTATACTTACAGCACATTGATCCTAAGATTATTTGTGAAATGGGACCTATGTGCCATGTGCAGCAGAGTTTAGGATTAGCAGTATAGTGATACTTATTTTCACAGCAATTCTGTTGCCTATTGACTTGCATCACAAATACAAAATATCGAAGTATTCAGATGTCGGAATATACTAAATGCTTTTACATGTCAAAGAATGTATAGCACAACTCTGAAGACTTAATTCTAGCTCTTTCGTCCAAAGTAAGCATTGGTGAAAAGAAGATTTTTTTTTTATATCATGCCTTCAAATTTGAGAACAATGGACAGCAAGGAATGATTAAAGGTTGGAATTGTACATGACTTAATCGAATTCTTGATTTTTCAGAAAAATTTGGGTATGCCTAGAAGTGGTCGCCATGCAAATAATCCATACTTGGTAGAAGATCAACCAATGCCACAACAACATCCCTCAAGACGTTCACAGGTCAAATTAGATCCCTTAAGTTATGATTATATAGCTGGAACTTCACCATTCGCTATCAATGATGTTACAAGTAGAGCAGCACAACTTGGTATTAATAATAAACGTATGAGAGAATTTCACCAGAATGGCAAAAGAACTTTTATTAGAAAAAAATAAAGCATGGTTGTATGTGTAATAAATTTTGTTTCCTATCTTCAATTGTTATAGTATCCCTTCCTTTTATAGGCAAGCAAATATACTAAAATGCAAACAGAATCATTATTATCATGGAATCACAAGTCAGGTGTTAATTATTCCAGGTACAAAATAGCAAGAAATGTCCATTTGATTTGAGTTCTTAAGAATAGGGCTGGGCAATATACCCCTATCACGATAAATACCGGTATAGGAATTTATATTGTTAATAATATCGCCTGATTAAAAAATATTGATTTCGCCATATCTTGATATATTCCCATATCCTAATATATTAATGCTTAATATCGTGATATCAACTTGAACCAATATCGCCCAGCCCTATTCTAGTTAAATTCCCAGACATTTATAATTCCTTATTCTATCTGATACAAAATGTCTTTTACATATTGATTTTTTCCTCTGAATGGAATGCTATATTTGGCTATATACATAATAGATTACAAAATTATCTTCCTGATCAGGAAATAACCTGTTATTAGTCAACTATCACATTAAAGCATTACTTTATACAAAAAGATCTTAAAAAAATAAAAACGTAAAAAAATGTATATTTAAATTAATAATATAAAAATTTATATGGTTTCTCTACTCCTTTTCTAAACAATAGCCACTCTGTCCTAATAGGTTTTTATGCTCCACATGTATTTCATGCTTTCGTGAAATACAAGACCATTGAATATCACAAGTCCTTTCACATAATTCATACACTGGTTTCTTCAACAATGTCTTGCCATTTTATAGTTTTTCTCAGATCAATGATTATAATGGACTCTGAAAGTATCTGTAGATCTACAATTAATAGAAATGCACTTGATAATAATTGTATTCTATACTTTCATTCTGTAAACAAATAATGCGAGTATTTGACTAGCTTGACATGCTTCATATTTACACCTTAAATTGTACAGTTACTTCCAATTAAATCATATATCTGTTCATTAATTAACAGAATAACACCCTCATTACATGGTATTGTAATTAGTAGGTTGATATGAGTTGATCAAGAGATATGAGTAAGATATATCAAACCTACCTTAATTTCTTTATCATCAGAACCGGTTAATAACATATTACCATATAAAGCTAATGTATTTACACTACCCTGGTGTCTAGATAATGTTTGTATTGGTAGAAATGTTTCTAAATTCCACATCTAAATACCACAAATATGTTGAAATATATTAGACCATTACATTGAAATTAATAGATTAAAGGGGTAGAACCAGCTTCAATAAAACAATAGTTATGTATTGTATTGTTAAAACACAGATTAATTTTTTCTAACATTGTCAATCACTGGTAGTTTTATCTAGAATGTATACTTGTGTAGTTGTTGAAAATGGTCCAAAGTGCAAAATTTTCTACACAATAAAATTATGTTTAGTATTCCCTTCCATAGACTATGATATAAATATTTCAATGAACAATTACCTGAACAATACAATCATGTGAACTAGAAAATAAAAATTTTCCTGATGGTGAAGGAACAATTCCAGTGATGGCACCAAAATGGCCTTTTAAATTAAAAACTTTCTCGCCAGACTTAACATCAAACAGCTGAATATTTTGATCAAATGTTCCTGGAACAATGGATAAATCAAATAAAAACACAAATAACACATCTCTATAAAGTCAAACACTTTTTAAGGCTACAAATATTGAGCCAAACATGGTGTTTGTCCAGGGGACAAATTGTGCTGATTCAGCAATCTTGCTTAAATCCCAGGGATTATTAGCTTCACACATTGCATATCAAGATCTTATAAAATGACAAGATCCTCTCCATTTCCAGTTAAAAATATGGATCAAACAAATTATGTATCTTCACACAAGCTAATATAATAAGCCATTTCTGCCCCTTGTCCATTCTGCATTACATATCTGGTTTCTATCTAGCTTATCTAGTATAGAGTTCAACTAGAAATTATCAGTAAAACATAGAACATTATACATACCAGCTATGATATATTGTCTGGTAACAGCTAGTGAATAGACAGAACCTAGATTATGTTTAATGTTGCTAACTGATTCAAATGTTGCTGTATCCCAGATATTGATTGCATTGTTAGAACCATTATATAACCATTCCTATAATATCAATTGGCAAGCTAAAAAATCTTGTAAAATACATCATTTTAGTGCAATTACATAACCATTCCGGTAACATTCCGGTTATCAAGAAAATGAAAATGCTGAATTAAGTTGTATTTCACATGGAATTCCTTCAAGAATAAAGATAGTGGACCACAGCCATATACGCCCACCGCGGCATGCGGATGGTAAATATTCAAAATTTTGGGCAAGGGAATCACTCTGCTTCTAACAGTCAAAAATAGCTCAAATTCGAACTTGATCTTCGTTTTATGAATATGTCTACACATACCGAATTTCATTTGATTCCATAAAAAAATCTAGTTTTTAGAGCGTTTACAAGCAAATGTTGACGGATGGACCGACAGGGCAATAACTCTGCTTCTAACGATCGAAAATGGCTCAAATTCGAACTTGATCTTAGTTTTATGAATATGTATACTCATACCATTACCATCCATTTTAAGTTTCATCAAAATAGGTTGAAAACTAAGAGAGTAATAGCATATTCAAGATTACAAGCAAATGTTGACGGACGGACGGACAGGGGTGCTGACAATATACGGCCACATAGAGATGTGGGCGTATAAAAATTACCATAAAAAATCACATCTTGCCAACGTAATCAACTAGCCTCTTAATCAAGAAACCATAACCAGCTGATGTTCCTAACCTTAGAATACCAAAATATAACTAACCTTTTTAGGACTGAGAGCTAAGGCTCTTACCCAATGGTTTAATCCTGATATGGAATGTTTTAATGTTAATGTTTTAATATTCCAAACCTAAAATCAAATTAAAATATCTATAAAATACAATAAGATAAACATTGCTTTCTTATCCATGAGTTTTGTCAAACTGTAATTCAAAATCAATAGAATTTTTCATATGATTAAAACAGATTAATAGATACTGAGGGTCAGATTTCCTATAGTTGAACTATGTATAGATTAAGAAGTTTTCTAGGCTTCTTATTGCTTCTGTTTAAGTTATTCAGATTTCTTGTATACAAATTTGTGTGAAAGCTTACTTCACTATGGTTTAACCAATTCAGCTTGAATAGTATTGTCAAATCTGGTCAAATTTTCAGATGTAAGCATATGCCAATTAGAGTTACATAAGTGTTCCCAGCAGGCATATAGAAAACCTCTTTCGAATCGTTTTCATGTTTAAAAAAATAAGAGGTTTATAAATATTTACTTGCCTTGATTAAAGAGAATGATGAAGTAAATAAATGATCTGAAAGTATCAACATTGAGCAGATTGTGTTATCATGGGCATTCTAAAAAGAGAAATAATATCAGTCAGAGCTGCAACAGGTATCATAACAATAAAATTTTAATTAAATCATATGTTTTCTCCTCTTTACATGCATCATAATGTGAAACAAAAAATCCTCACTTAACAAAACCAGATGAGTCTAAAGGTGGTACATACCTCAATGATAGAGTTCTTATGTGAATCACTAGCTAAGTTCCATTGTATAATAGATAGATCATCGCCAGCAGTATAGAGATATCCTCCATCCACACATGAACAATGAATCTAAAATTCAACATTTCTGATTACCTATTCACTATAACATCTAAATGTTAATGCTACAACGTTAAAACCAAATATTAATATTACCTAAATGATAAACATCACATGAAACAAGTATCTCCACAATGACACTAATCAAGTTTTAATACCCATGGCCTTGCAAGCATTAAACCTGTCATTTAAAAAAAACATCATACTTTATGAACAAATGTGTTAAAGACACTCATCTACAGATCTGAGATCATAATATATTCTTACTCGTTTTTTATGACCTTTAAGATTATCTATACATCCTTTAGCCAAGGCATCCAAATCCCAGACTTTTATAACTGTATCAGTACCAGCACTGTATAATTTACCATGATAAATAGTTAAACACCATACTACTTCTTGATGACCCCTTTAAAAACAGACAAGAAGGAATAATGTACAAGTAATCTAACTCCTATTGAGTATTTCCAATATCAAGAACCAGGATCATTTATCACTTCATTTTACCTGCATTGATAACTGAAAATGCACACAATGTATTAAACAATAGCCTCAAAGTGCAGTTATACGTCTGGTTAAGATCTTAGTTTTCAATAAATATTTGATTAGATGAGCCATGAAAATTTATAACACAACAATCATACATACACACAAAATTTGAAGCAAATGATGAAACACCTCAGACAAAAAGTGTGAAAATAACCTTACTTACCTGAGTGTACCAATACATTTAAACTGAAATGGTTTTTCCCATTGTTCAAATTTAGTAGTATTTGTGGGACTGGATGATGGTGATGTGGGGATTGATGATAAACTTTTATTTGAACCTAAAAAAATCCACAATTATATGTCTGGATAAACATAGAATTATTTCATTTTTCATCCATAGATTATCTTACATCAATTGTTATTAACAAGGCTGGACATGCTCACTGGGGTAAATTTTTGGATAGATGGCAGCTCGAATATCTGGGAAAAGCAAGCCTCAGACATCCAAATATAGGTCAGATATACATTGTTGTTCAGTGCAAGTCAAAATCTTAAAATTGATGAAAACTCAACCTTCAAATACAAAGCCATGATTCAAAATATGATAACAAAACAAACTTATACCACACTTGTCAACTCCCGCTTGCATTTCAGAAAGAAAATATCTGGAGAAATAGTTGGTTGATGATATAAACTATTTACCTGTTAAAGAATCATGTTTATTATAACTAGATTTTCTTCCTGTTCTAACTGACTGTTCTATCATACACTGTAATACCTCTACTTTCTGTTGTAATCCATTTATAGAACTAAAATATATGTTAACAGTCTGTTCTACTATAGACCTAAGGTCTGTTTACATGTAACAGGCCAATCCTGTAAACCAAGCTAGCCATTTATCCAGGGTGAAATATTTGCTCCATATAGAGTCAAGAGCCAAGTAAAGTCAGACCAGAGATACTCAGCGAACCGAGGCATTTCACCTAGCCAGGGTGACCCATATCAATGTCATCATTGCAATTGTAATTTTTAAAGTTCTATTTGACCAAAAACAATTGCATATAAAATGGAAAGAAAAATTATGAAAAATTGATGAAAAAATTGATAAATATATTCAGTGAATTTTAGAAAAATATAAATTATATCTGAAGATCAATGACTTACCTTATACAAGTAGCTAATTGTGAAGACAATTCCTCACGACCACTTTCTAGAAATATAACTTTCTCTTTTAAACACTTAACCTCTTTATTTAAGGTTTTATTTTCTCTTTCCAGATAGACTGTCTGAAAGGTCGACAAAAGGTGTACAAATAGATTAAAAGAAAGACAAATATTGGACAGCTCAACCATTTGTCTAATTAAAATTAGACCAAATTTTCGTTCTATTTTTTATTACATGTACTTTCTTTTCTTTAATATAGCCACTTCAGACTGGCCTCTTAAATATTCTGAAAAATAACCTTTTGACTTAATCTGATGACATCTGCTTTAAGCAATCAAATTCCTCCACTCTCTCACAAAATGCCAGCGCTGGAGAAGAAATTTGATTGGTTAAGCAGGGTCAAGTCAAAAGGTATTTTTGACGAATGTTTCAGAGAACACTCTTCAGACCCTAACTGAAGTAGCTATATTAGAAATAAAAGCTGATAGAAAAACGGAATGAAAGTTCGGTCTATGTTTAATTAGACTGACTTTATGTGATTATGAAGGAAAGATGGTGTATAATCATGCAGAATGCACTCTCCTTTCAGTTTACACTCTCAAATCTGCAAAATATTAAATTCAATGTAGGTTTACTATTTAGACACCATAATATTGAGGTCTAGTTGAACTAAGATTTTTGTTATGCTATTCAGATTATATAACTATATACAGTGAAGTTAACTTACCCTAGACAGTAATTCTCTGCTATTATTATTGGAACTACTAGGTGATTTTAATGAACAATTTTCTACATGTTGTTGTATACTTGATAACAATCCTCTAAAATCACATCCTAGAAAAATATGTAACATTTATAGGGGAATAATGCCAAGATTTTTAACAGTATAGACATGCGTCAATTCTTGGCTGAATCTATCTTGGTATTGATTGGAAGATTTCTTTGTGTATTCTTCGGTAAGCCCCTTTTCTCTGCCATTTGAAAAATGATTTGTCACATGAATAGAGTTCATAGCTTTAGAATCTTTTCATTTTAGTCATATTGTTTATATCTGTTCAACAAGCATTTCAGTATCATTAAATACATAATCTACAAAGTTTTTGCTTTCATTGGCATTGAGTACAAACACTTGAAGTCCCAAACGACCAGCTTAAGAGACAATTACTGTTCTATGTTGCTGTTGCCAGCATCAATACTCTTCTTACAATTTGGAAATGTATCAATGCAAATCAGTAAAAAGGTACAAATTTGTTGTTTGTGTGAAACAACACAAAATACTCACCATACATAAAATTGGGACATGGATTAAAACGGCAGTTTTGAAGATGATTTTTTAAATCCTGGCGTCGATATTTACCACAATCTTTATTATTTTTACATGAAACTAAAACATACTGGCAAATTTTCCTGTGTTCATCTATAGTTCCTGAAAAAATGAATTTATGTATGATCTCACGCTGATCGAGATTGGAACCCACAGCTGTAAAGAACCATCTAACCAAGTGTGCTAGAGAACCTCTTTTTCTGTAGATCCTTGCTATACATGAACTTAAGAAATTGTTATGCATCTCCTAACTGAAGAAATTGTTATGCATCTCCTGTTAAGGGTTATCTAATATTCAACCAATCAATTTTGATACTATTGGGCCAAAATATCACGCAGCAACTTAAAATGTGTAATTGACAAACCTAAAGTTAGGTGTTCTGAACAACCACTTTTATCTTCAATCCATTCATTATTTTGCTGAATCAAACCATACGGACAATGTATCAACAAATCATTTATCTGACCAACTACTAGTCTGCAACATAACACACTAGATTACAATCGCTTCATAAATTCCAAATTTCAAATTTGCCCATTGGCATTAGTAATCCTTTAGCGACATTTAGGGGTAGAGATCACATTAAATAACGGAACACAATTATATACAATATACCATAAAATTGTGTTCCGTATTTTAATTGGTATAGTAGTTCATGAGTCATTAAAGGGAAAAGGATACCTTGCCTTTGACGTTATCCAATTGCACAGGTGCTTGTGGACAGGATAAACTTTGGTGATGTCAAGCATTTGATACTTTGCCTGTCAACTGATATCTATACTCCACACAAATATCGGTTGAACGGCAAATTCTTCACAAAAGGCTATCCAGTCCACAACTAAGTAGGCTACCTTTCTGTGTCCAAATGTAACATTTGACATTATTTTACTTAAATCTGTATGTTTCCCTACACCACCAAAAACATTAATGGTTAAACACAAATATTAACAGGAAAATACTTTCAGATAAACTGGACCTAAGTGAAGGTGACATTTTCTCTAGATTTTTGTCATCATGTTATTCAAGGCATACAGTCGAGTAACCTAATTTCGTGGAAACCTATTATTCGTGGATTTCCGGAAAGGATTAATAATTTACATGAGCGACCTTGTGCGACCTCCGCATTAGTTTGTTTTAATAAACATGGGTTTTCTCTACAATATCATCTAGTAGAATGAATCCAGTAGTTTCAAGCAAGGTAAAATGTATTAATGTATACTTTGACAAATACAAAATGGCGGATTTCAGTTATTACCAAACGTCACCATTTTTTATCAGCCGAATTTCCTTATAATCCCTAGCCGTAATCGGAATTCCAAGTGTCGTCTGCTAGAATGTAATCCAACGAATGAAGTCACGTGATCAACTAGCGGATTCCGTGTCAGCAGAAAATTTCTATGGAACACAAAGTGGACCATATTCTTATGTTGTTTCAGTGACTTTTATCAATAAATCACGCTACGTATCTTATTTTGTCAGTCACTATTTTTTTTTTTAAATCGTGGTTCTTTGAAAGAATTGTCACTAGTTATAATGAATTGATATTAAAGATAAATACTAAGAGAAGTTAATTATACCACCTGGTATCCATACGTGTATTTCTAGCCTTATTTATAGTTCAAACATTGTACACGAAAATAGGTGACGCATTGTGACGCCGTTGCCGAGTTGGTTTCTCATGAAATATTGGTCAAAGTGAAGGATTCATAAAGAAAATCGAAATAAACCAATTTTAATTATTTTGTAGAATATCTGAGGAAACATCTAAGACATAAAAAAAATTTTTTTGTCTTTTTAATTTTGACGAAATTCGGTGTTGAATCCTTATATCCACAAAAATAGGTTACACCACTGTACTAGCCTAGCACTAAAAAAATTGAACTGACGGATTAATTTTATCAATACAATTTACAGCAGTATTTGTAACATAAAAACTTGTAATTACCTATTCAGAACTAATTTATCTGAATCACAGGGCGCAGAATCTATTGGACATTTATCCAAATTTTGTGTACAACCTCTACAAAATGTGTGTCCACAATTTACATTGCCATTTATGACTGGATCTTCATAACATTTTCTACAAATTGGACACTTCAGGTGAGTGTTTGGCTCTTCTACAAACTTGACAGGTTCTCTTATATCTACAGCCATTATCAGATTTATCTAAATCAATCTCCGTAATATCAGACAATAATTTCGAAAAGAGAATTTCAATTTTCCTGAACTATTCATCGCTTTTGAGGACCTAAGGACATCCGGCTTCTCAAAATAAACAAGACTTGATCGCCAGGACCTTTTTGATTTGAGTTATTCCCCTTGGTTTATAAAACTACATCTTTAATCCGAGAGATTCTTTAAAATTATCCTGTTAGTACGAATTGTCTGCTAATTTGAATTTAATAAGAGAATATGATTTTTTCAGTATTATGGAATTGGGAATATTTATAGTTTGTTATCACATATCAAGTACCAAATATTCAGCAGTGTTTGAATTAGTTATTTATCAAGTCAAACGGCAGTAGGCCTAATCCTTTTGAATAGAAACAAACTTGTTCATCAAAATAGGGCAACAGGCACTGTCCAGGGCATAGTTCAATCTATCAGAACCTCATCTTTGCAAATCAACTAGGTCTGCCCATTATCTATAATAAGCTGCAAACTCTTGATTACAATTGCAATAAGGGCTTTAGGATAGGTGGGAGGGATTAGGCTATAAACATTTCTTCAGCAGATAATGTGTTATCTGTTCTTCTCTTTATAGGTACAACACAAAATATGAAGGCATTGTGTATCAGAAAGTTTTATTAGGACAGTGAAGGTAAATTATAGGAATCCACAGCATAAATCTATATACTTTTCTGTTTATCATTTTTATTTTGATTATTGATTTAGCAAATTCACCATGATTTTAAAATTGTCTACAATACAGATATAAGTAAGATACTTGTTGCAAACACTCATTAAGCTGTAAAAAGACAAATTGGAGTAATACCACAAAATGTATGCACATGAACATTATTTGTGAAATTTGTATGGAACCATCACCTTATAAATCAAATGCCTGAATGGCTGAATAAACTACGGTCAATAAACAAGAAATTGGAAACAGACATGACAGACTTCACTAGGTTAAATAAAACTTGATAATGTATTCTATACCTTTCCGATTGGAAGTTTCCGAATAAGAAATAGCATTGGAAACCACTGAAACTATGAGGGGAATGGTATTTCACACTGCTAAAGTAAGATATCTTGAGCTACCCAAGTTTCAGAGTTGGTAGTGTTGCAACATCAATGTCAAACTGAATTACATAGACATTATGTGATAAAATAATTTGAGAGAAAAAACATCTTTATCACACCTCCCACAGGTTATGAATAATATAATAGAGTGTATTGAATCATACACAACAAATCATATTCAAAATTTTCATGATAAACATACTTAACAAATTCGAAATGATAGAGATTGGCAGTTTAAAATAACATTAATACAAGCTTGTAATGTAACCTGCATTACAGTTATCAAAATTGAAATTGCATAATAAAAGCTTTACAAATAGTACAGAAAATATTCATATACAGAAATAAAACATAACAGTTCTTATTATAAAATAGTATTAAATTCATACCTTTTGTCTCTTAAACTATGGTGTTTTTTTATTATATTTGAATGCCCAGAAACCTTATTTATTAAACAAAACAGCTTATTTTGGTTCAAAGTATAATATTTGATATCATTTTATATAAAATTGCACTTTTTCTACCTTGGAACAAAGTTAAATCTATGGTCTATATGTAGCAAACTTGTCATCTGAAACCCTCCCTATCATATCATTCATTACTGACTGACTGAAATGTTAGTTTGATTAATCAAATACATTATTTGTTGACAATTTTTAATTTTTGAAGTAAGACATACTCTGATAAAAAGCTAAATTGACTTGTATGTACATCTCATTTATAAGACCATCTCCTGAGTCAAAACTAAATGCAGTATATATAAGTTGCTATGTACAATTGAATGTGAATATATAATTTCATTACAGTATATACAAAGACAATAGAGAATCTTCTTAGGTTATTTTACTGGGAAGGAGCTTGTTGCCTGCCTGTTAGCAACCCATGCTGTAAACACATCCCTGAAAGAACAAAAAATTTAAATGTGACAAAGTAAGAAATGTACGTAATTTTTTTGAAAGTTTCTTGATTACATTATCACTTCATAATAGTCTGCATCATAATAGTCTGCATTATCTTGGTGAAATAAATAACTTTAACTCAGTAGAACTTTAACATATAAAGAAAGTTACATTTTTGTCTATAGATATGACAACTTTCCAAATTTAGTTTTTTATTAACTTTGAGTTTTTAGCGTGTTGGTTGAGTTATTAATACATAGTTTGAATACATACCTACAATGACTGACTACACACTCACTACTACAATATTCTTCATCCCAACAGGGACTGTTGATAGCATTATTACCACATCCATTTCTAATACATTGACTGTTAATTCTACCACTATAATTAGCCTGTCAAAATATAGTAATTTATATCATGTAACATTCAATACAAACCATTTGTAAAAAAAAGAGTTAGAGTTTGTTTTCATGTTATTGTGGCAGATGACTTTTCAGTTTTCTTCCCTCAAATTCTCATGTCTGCAATTGTAAATAAACAGTTCAAGAAAAGATAGAATTGAAGTTAATAGTATACCTGATTTTGTGGTTGATATGAAACATTTGTTTGTTGAACCGGTTGAGATGGTTGATAATGGTGTATTAATGGTTGTTGTTGATGATGAGGAGGACTATAATTAATAACTTGTGGTGGTGACATCTGATCCATAGTATTCACCATCATATGAGAGTTGTCCCCCATTAAAGTCGGACTACCTTGAGAAACCTGAATAGGTTGTTGTTGATATGGTGGAGACTGCTCATTTCCACTAGATTCCTCTACTGCTGCCTGTGAATGAAAAAGCTATTATATATTTCATTACAGATATATCATTTCACTATTAAGGAACTCAGATACATTGGACTGAGATGGGAGTAACCATCTTGAGAGAGTGCAGGAGAGTTTGTCTGTGGCATTAATCACAAGCAATACGATACACAGATCATTGCTTTGCATTTCAATGCATATAAAATCTCATTCATTACTTACCAATGAAACTTGACTAGCTCTATAGGCTGCTAATTGTTTTAAATATTCTTTCTTAGCCATTTCAGTCTTCTTTTTATAACCCTACAATATTTCAAAATATATTGTAAACTTAACAAAACTACTACCAATGATGATAAATGCCCTTCGTATTTCATATCTTTGAAACGTCAGTTAGCTATACTAGAAAGTTACAAATATTCAACTTACATTTTTATGATCAGGATCTAAACCATCCCACATAGCAGCTACAATTTTAGAAACTTCACCAAAACTAGCACTTGGATTTTGTCCTTTAATAGCAGCTTGTGTATCACGGAAGAATAAAGCATATGCGGACACTGGCCTGAAATTAAACAAATTTCAAATGAATCTATGAAACATGAATATATCTATTATCTGTTAAGCTAGACATCTCTATTCTACACAATGCTTGAGAAAATATATTTCAAGGTCATTTTTCAACCTAATAGCTTCAAGCTCCTGGTTCTGGAGATTATATTTGTAGTGTGGCAGCATTCCTTTCAGAGATTCTATATACATAAAAAGATATGATGTTAACATACTTTTGTGGTTCATTTGGATCTTTTTTCTTTTTACGTTTTGGTGTTTTAGGTTTTTTAGCTGGTGGAGGCGACTTATTTGTTGGTGAAGGAACAGGACTTTTCTTTAAATCATTGTTAGCTGCTTGTCTTTTTAATGATACTAACTGAAAAAATAACCAGATATATATTTATAACTATATGGATTCAATAGCACCTTCGAGTCACATATAAATAACAAACTAAATATTCTGAACAAAACTGTCCTAAGAAAATGTCCATTTGTATTTTTTGTCTACCCTATTAACCGGAGTTTAAATGACTGAATAAATTGTTTTAAGAACAATTGAGATGAAGAGGAGAAAATATTTTTAAAAAAAATAACAAGTACTTTATTTTCTAAAAAATTCAATGGAACAGACAATTTAATAGTCACATCAAAATTTCGTAAATTTAACACTTTAATGTTCCTTGAAAATATGACGAAATCAATCACTGATTTATTAATGGACTAATTAAAGGTCAAAAATGTTAATTAAGAAATCTGATAATTGATGTCATTATACAAAGACAATTTTTAATGAAAAAGAAATAAAAATGTGGAAAAAGAAAAGGGAAGAATGTTTTGAGAGAAAATATGATGCATAAATAATGATCATTTCAGAAAGTAAATATTAATTTTGACATGTTATCATAGAATCTCATATCTTTTCTTCCTTCTCTAACAATATCTCTAGTGATTCATAATATTATCATCAATTTCATTTATTTCCCTCTCAAAGCATCTTCATTCCACAACAATGGCATATTCCTAATTGTTTTTTTTCAGTATTTTTGCCGTATAATGAATGTTTTTTTTCTAGTATGTGTGTGTTCAGTATAAAAACTAGTACTAATATAACTTCCAAATCAAAATTTCTTTAAAAGATATTTTCCCTTAACATCTGAGACACATTAATAAATTTTTACAACGTTAATTTTTGCCTAAAATATGTTAAAGTCTTGTTAAAGTCTGCTGCAAATTCTCTCTCTTTTTCAAATCAAATACAGTAACTCTGTCTTTCAAATTTGACAGAACATCATTTTATTTCAAATCCTTTTATGGCTTTTGTTTACTTTCTACTTGACTGAATCTGCCAGACTTTTTCTAATAAAACAAATCTTTCTTCAATACTACAAGTTCACATTTAACTTTCTTAATGGGCTCTTTATGTGGTCACTAATGCATTGGTGCAATTATATTTCACAGACTGGAAAAAATCTTTTTTCTTTTCTACCATTACTTCGACATTTATTTAACAGTAGGAAAACCATTATAATTTTTATTTTAATTTGACACTTGTATTGAAGTATTTGATGAAGACATTTAATTTTCAACCAATATTGAAATAAGATGTTCTTCTTCTGCATCAATGGAAATCTTCACAATTCAAATTCATTTTAAATAGTTAAAAGGAATTAAAGTTGACTTAGTAACAATCTTTACATTATGAATGAAAATAAAGCAAATAGTTCACCTAATGAACCACTCTGCAGAGTTAAAGTAAACCATGTTGTACATCAACCCCTAAATTTCACTTTTAAAGAGATTCATTGTATAATTCAAATTCTGGTTTGACAGAGATGATCCAATGCAACAATTCATTTACATTTAGATAATATTTGTTGTGCCATCTTGTGCCGATGTACTTAAGACTAGCCATATTTTGGGATATTTGGCTCTATATATGATGTTCAGTTCATCTACATTTGTATAAATTGAATTTATTTGATTGACTGATTTGATTAAGCAAGTTATTACAATCAACTTCATGTGGGAAAGTTAATAAGTCTGGATATCTTTAACTTTAGATTTTGTCACCCCCTCCTTACATTTTTTTCTGAGGATACAGAACCAGATATGTGATATTCATTCTAAAGATTGACACAAGACACCCTGTTCTAGCAGCTGGGAACTATTTGAACCTATCTTTTTAAGTTCTACAAGTTGATAAAGCCAATGAATCCCTGAATTCATCCATAATTTAAAGTAAAAATTTATACAATACCTGAGCCAATGGCAAACTATCATCACTATCTTCACTGGTACTTTCTCTAGGTGGTGAGGTGGTTTTAGTTGTTCCAGGTATTGGTGAACCCTGATTAACTCCCCCTGTTACACCTTGTACAGGATATCCTACTGTATTAGATATGGTACTATTCATTAATGATTGCTGCTGGCCAGCAGTAGCCATTTGTCCTTGGTTTGTTTGTCCTTGAAACATAGCTTGTCCTGTGGTCATGGTGACATTTTGGAACATATTATTCTCACCATAATTTGGATTATTTCCTTGGAATGTATTACTCATATTAATGTCCGGATCGTAAAAGTTCTGTGGTGGAAATGTGGGATTTAAGTTAGCTGTATTTTCCAAATTTGAAAAGATGTTAGAGTTCTGAGACATATTTGAAGCCATTGTTGCTGGATTGTTCATCATCTGTGATGCCAGTGATGTATTCTGGGAATTAAATATGTCTTGCTCAGTAGGTACACCATGTCCTTGTTGCTGTTGTTCTGATGGTAGCATTAAAGGTACTTGACTCAACAAATCAAAATCTTCATCACCAAAACTTGGCACTTGGAAACCCTGAAAAATAGGACAACATATAAATTAATGTCAAACTTCTGAAAGGCATTGTTTGCATTTTTTGTCCAAAAAATTAAAATAATAATAGTTGTGCATTGAAATATGATAAAGTGTAAAGATAAATAATGAATGATATTAGAGAGGCAGAATGAAATGAAGATGTCTAATTTTAAACTAGATCTGATAATGTTGTATTAAACAGCTGTCTGATACGTGCCACTCATTGTTTAAAGGCAAACAACCCTTTTTTGTCATGATTGTTACAATTTCTGCTGCCTGCTGAGAAGAAAAATATAATGTGTTAAAACCTTGCAGGTGTTAATTATAAAGAGGTATTAACACCTTTAAGGTACACAATATGATTAATCTCTTGGAAAAATTTCTCCATCAACAATTCCAGTTTCCATATAAAGAAGTTTTCCCTCATTTTTAGCCATTTTGACGGACAGTATTATCATTTTTGACTCCATCATAATTTCATGTTTATGTTAAACAAAACTATTAGAGACATTACAAATAAAATAATATGCTCACTTTGTCTGAAAAAATAATTGGATTCAATTGGCTTATTTGAATATTGCTGCTGGTTTACAACCACCTTAGACGTTGTGACATCATTACATAAAGAAACCTGTACATTAACCAAGTCAACAACATAATCATACTTTCAAAAATAGAAATATTTATTGCAAACTCTGTCTTAAACCTTAACTGCAATAACCACCTTTCTTTGTAAATGCAGCGCTTTGATTAGATAGTACGATTGTGAATACAGCCAATGAGAGCCCTTAACAGAAATCTGTAAACTATAATCCATAATGTTTACAGTCTATATGTTGTGGGCTCTGATTTGCTGTTTTCACAAGTGGACAATCCAATATGACTTCTGTGATACAAGAAAAGCTGCTATTGCAGTCAAGGTAAAAGATTCAGTTTGTAAGAGTTTGACATTGTGAAGATGTGGGGCCTGTTGTAAGACAGTTCGTAAGTGATTCTTGTATCTATATAACTTCTTAATATCTGATTGGTCAATATCATCTCAACAACATGTTAGTGATCTTCTTCATACTACATCAAGATATATATTTCAATTGTTTACAAAATAATTACAATTTCTCAGCAATTAAAATATGATAAAACAATTATTGACCTTTTAATCCCAAGAATTACCAACATTTATCAAGGTTGAATGCCTTAAATTATCTTGATGAAATTTACACACTATTTTGGAAAAAAAAACAAAGTTTAAGACAATTACCTTGCATTGCAGACAGTTAAAATTTGAATATGTTAATTTGGTATAATTAAAGAAGAAATAATTAAGATAATTAATGAGATTGTTGTGATTAATTATCTAATAATGATCCACTACTTTCACTTTAACTATGATGATTAATAGCACAGTGTTTAAAGGAAATCTATTTTCCTGTCAAATTCCACTCTATTTTAAGCGTAATGGCTTTTGGATGAAATTAATAAGCAATAATTCTAAGTCATTATAATTGTATTGATTTTTAGATGGCACTGATCATCATTCAGTTTTACAAAGCCATCAAAGTAAATGAAATCAATCTTCATTTAACCATCATGAGGCTGAAAGTCAGAACTGGACAAATCTTGAAAGGTTTGAATCAAAACCCCACACACCTACCAGCCAAGCAAGGAACATACTGACTAAAACCTCAACTAACTAAAGGCAGGAACTATTAAAGCCCATATAGTCGAAACCAGCCAATCATCATCACAAACTAGGCGAAGATCAAATACAAGTTAGTCACATTGCCTTTCCTCAGACCAGGGCTGTGGATCTGGCTCTAATTTCTGGACATGTCTGGTAGGGCAGTTCAAATGTCTGAGAATCATAAGTCTCATCCAGTTTCACACCAGATTCACTAAAATTAATGCATAAATTCAGTAAAATGAACATAAGTTGAGAATACAGAATTTTTAAAATCAGAGAGATCCTTGAAAATGTGTGCATGATGATGATACACCAGATTACATAGTTTTGAAAACACACATAACTTCTGGTTTTCATCAATAAATCAAAAGCAGTTTGTATAGCATAGAAATTCAAACGTGAGGACACAAAATTTCTAAAACTTATTAAACCAGCATGTATTATCACATGCATTTGTGAAGAAATAAAAATTTAATACATGTATATCAGTATATATCAGATGAAACATAATAATGATGCTGTGTTAAACTAATTATTCAAAGCTGACAAAATATTCAAAAAATAATTCAACCTTTGTTTTTAAGTTTTGAAAAGCTGTACTTACCTCCATTATAATAAAACTATAATCAATAAGAGAGGTTGATAAATTGATAGAATCTCTAGTCTTTATCCACAAAGAGTACTATGATACCAGTCAATAAATCTGGACCAATTTACACATTAAATTGTCAAACTATTCTTAAATGATTTGACA